TTATTGAGACATATAGCCCAAGTCAAGGTGAATTAGCAATGGATACTTTTGTTAAGTTTTACCAAAAAAATTTTAAGTATCAATATAAACAAATATCTGAATAACTTAAAAGGCCTAACATTGCCTTATAAGCTCAGTATGATTTTCATGTCTTAAAATAAAATGCAAATAAAATAGCTAGTTTTATAATAACATGATTTCAAAATAGATGCAAACAGCATCTATTTAAGTTAATTAAGCAGCACAAAGGGTCACAGTAATAAATACCATATTTCACACTGCTGAACTCCCTTCAATTGTTAAGCCTGACTAAAGTGCCAAGGCAGTGGCTGCAATATCAGAATAGATCTCAGTAATTAATCAGTGTCAAAAAGATACAAAATGACTGATGTTATTAAGTGTGTCCACTGTGGTGAGAGATACAAAGGACATTCTCTACGAAGCTGAGCTGTACCACCCTGCTTTAATCATTGGCAGATGTCTATTAGTAAATCACAAAGCAGTGTTACAGTTCAATGATTAATAAAATCAATTTCACGTGGTTTAAATTCAGTGGTTTTTAAAAATTCTTTCAGAGCAAAGAAATTTTATTTTCCCATTAGAGGAAAAAATAACAATTCATTATTTTCACTATTACAGCTTAGAGTTAAAAAAAATGGATTCTCCATTAAAAAACTTACTAGGTATATACAGAGAATGAGAAATAGCCTGATTTTAATCATATTCCCAAAGCCAAATAAGATGAAAATGATCTGGATTTTTAAAGAAAACACTGCCATATAAATTTCTACAACAAAATAGCACATTACTTTAAAGGAAAAGAAAAAAAACACATGCCCTGAATTTACTTAACCTTAAAGTAAGCGTTCTCTAACTTCTTTAAGAGTATTCAGTCTTATGCCCACAATGCTGGAAGTGCTCAAATGTGCAGAGCACTACTTTGGAACTATTTTTTGATCTACTTTGTGAATAAAATAACAAAACAAAAACAAACTAGGCACATTATTTTATAGTTCCATTTTGCTTTTGGCCAAATATAAAATTCTTAGTCTGAGAAATCCCCTATGCACATTGTCTTTTCCTACTTTCTAAATATCAAGTCTACTCCCAAGGGTTAGATTTATCATTACCCCCCTGCACTACCAAAAAAGATTTACTGACAATATAGACATACACAAAATCTGGGCAGAATAACTGTGTTTATAATATTTTACTTATTAAAAAATCTTGTCATATTACTTTTTAGACACTAAAGGTCTATTTCTGGATTATTCTCTATTTGCTTTATTAATCTATATGTCTATCTATAGTGTGTACCAATACTATACTTTCTGGGTTAATGTAACTCTTTAATACGTTTAGAAATCACAGTTAAAGGATTTCAATATGGTTCTTTCTCAAGATTGTTTGCATTTGCAGGTACATTTTAGAATCAGTCTATCTATTTCTACCTTGCTAAATAAATTCACTTACTAAATTCTGCAGTTTTTTTGGTAGGTTCCTTAGAGTTTCCATATATACAATCATGTTATCTGTAAATAATGATGGTTTTATTTCCTCCTTTCCAATGACTTTTAATTCTGTTTGTCCTTTATTGTATGTACTGCCTTACACTTCCAACATTAAGAGAATAGGAGTGGTAAGAATGGACCTCTTTGCCTTGTCCCAAATACTGGCAGGGAAACATTCTGACTTTCTCCGTTCAGTATGATGTTTGCCGTAGACTTTGTGTGGATGCCTTTATTAGGTTGAGGACATTCTCTTTTATTTCTAGTTGCTTCAACGTCCTCTAATTACCTAAACAGAAGTCTTTTACCTCATTGGTTAAATTTATTCTTAAGTTCTTACTTTTTGTTTTTGTTGTTGCAATAATCAATTGGATTGTTTTCTTTGTTTTCCTTTTTGATAGTTCATTATTGGTGTATAAAAATGCCACCAATTTCTGAATATTAATTTTAATGTTGCTAGTTTGCTCAATTCATTTATTAAATTTAGTAGTTTATGGTGGAGTCCTTAGGGTTTTCTATGTGCAATATCACATCATCTATGAGTAATGACAGTTTTATTTCTTCCTTTCCAATTTGGATCCCTTTTATTTCTTCTTCTTGCCTGATCACTGTGGCTAGCACTTTCAGTACTATGTTGAGTAAGAGTGGTGAAAGTGGACATCCCTGTCACGTTCCTGATCTTAAGGGAAACACCTTTAGTTTTTCCCATTGAGTTAGATGTTGGCTGAAGGTTTTTCATAAATGGTCTTTATTATGTTGAGGTATGATCCCTCTATTCCCACCTGACTGAAAGTTTTTATCATAAATGTATGATAGATTTTATTAAATGCTTTTCTGTAGCTATTGATATGATCATGTGGTCTTTACCTTTCATTTTTTATGATGTATCACATTTATTGATTTGTGAATATTGTACCAACCTTGCATTCCCAAAATAAATCCCACTTAATCTTGGTGTATGATCTTGTTAATATATTGCTGGATCCAGTTTGCTAATATTTTAATGAGGATTTTAGCATCTATGTTCATTAGGGATATTGGCCTATAATTTTCTTTCTTTGTAGTGTCTTTATCTGGTTTTGGAATTGAGATAATGCTGTCCTTGTAAAAACAGCTTGGAAGTCTTCCCTCCCTTTGAATTTCTTGAAATAGTTTGAGAAGGATAGGCATTAGGTCTTCATGAAATATTTTAGACATATAGAAAATAATATGATTACTTGGGACCCACTACTCAGCTTTGTCAAATACTAACATTTTCCCATAGTTCCTTCACTTTTTAAAAGAAGTTCAGCTATATGGTGTTGAACCCTCTTTGTAGTCTTTGCTGATCTTATTTCTATCTTTCTCCAAAGGTAATCACTACTCTGAATTCAATAGTTATCATTCTTAAGTACTGCTTCTTACTTTTACTATGTATGTATGTATGTATGTATGTTTTCAAAATCCATATAAATGGTATATTGTAGAAATCAATGCGCAAATTCTTTGTTCAGTGTTGCTCTTTATAGACACATATACTTGATTTATTTCATCTGCTATATTTTATTGTATGCAACTACCATTATCTATCTATCTTCTGTTGATGGGCATTAAGGTTGCTTTTAATTTTCACTTCTACAAACAGTAACTGTTGTGAAAGTTCCTATACACAAGTTGTGGGAGAGATTGTCAGAATACATGCCTAAAAAAAACCAAAACTGGTTGTAAGAATGGTACATCCGTATTTAACATGATGATATCAAACTGTTCTCTAAAGTTGTTGTACAAATTAAATTAACACTACCAGCAGAAGAGTTTAAAAGTTATCTTTGTCTACAATATTGCCAGCACTTGGCACTGTTACATTTTATGTACTTTTTTCCCATAGTGATGGACAAGAAACATCTTATAGTTTTAATTATCCTTTCTCTGAGTTACTAGTGGTGCTGAGTAGCTTTTCAGTGAAGTTTGTTGTACATTCAGCTTTCCTACCGTCAGGAAGCTTTCAGTAAAGGTGGGATAAAAACACTCATGTGTAACGTGAGTCTTAAATTTTAGAAAAGGTTTCATTATCAGATTCTAACTTTTGGAGCTAAGTGTGTAGGACATAAGAACTATGGGTGCTCACATAAGTGAACAATCAATGAGATATAAAACAAAGGAATGTAGCAGTGACCAGTCCTTGAACACTGCAGGATTTGAGGAGGTAGAGACGGTGCACTTCATTCTAAACAAATATATCTTGAATAAGATAATACTGAATAACAGTCTCCTTAATTTTTACTTTACCTTTATAGGTGATATGACTCTTTAGTCACTTGGGAAGATATTTCTTTTGGTTATATTTGCAACTTAGTAAGTACTGGTTATTACTTAAAAGTTTTCTGAATTATTCTGTGGTACTCAAAATATGAGCTACATAATATGCAACATACGTTTCAATTGGCAGAAATTAGCTTTAAATAATAATTTTCTTTAAATTACTTTTTCCCCTCTCACCCAATGATATTTTTTTCATTGCTTTTAGAGAGAGAGGAAGAGAGGGAGCAACAGAGGGACAGAGAAAGAAACACTGATTGGCTGCCTCCACACATGCCCTGCCCTGGGATTGAACCCACCACCTACATGTGTGCTCTGACTGGGAATCGAACCCACAGCCTTTTGGTGTACAGGACGACATTCCAATTGAGCCACACCTGCCGCAGCCTTTAAATTATTTCTTTAAAGGAAATCTTACCTTTAGCAACAGCATGAATAGACCTGGAGAATATTATGCCAGTGAAATAAGCCAGTCAGAGAAAGATAAATACTGTATGATTTCAGTTATATGTGGACTATAATGCACGAAATAAACTAACAGACAAAACAGAAACAGACTCATAGATACAGAGAACAGACTGACAGCTGTCAGAGACAAGAAGTGTTGGGAAGCTGAGTGAAAAAGGTGACGGGATTAAGAAAAAAACAGACACAGACAACAGTATGGTCATCATCAGAGGAAAAGAGGGGTCGGGTGGATGGAAGAGGGTAAAGGGGAGATGAGTGGTGGTGGGAGGAGACTTGACTCCGGGCGGTAAGCGCATGACGCAATATATAGGTGATGTATTTTGGAGTTGTGCACTTGAAACCTGCATAACTTTATTTAACCAATGTCACCTCAATAAAGTCAATAAAAAATTTAAAAAATTAATAAATTATTTCTTTAATGAAATCATATGCCATCTTATTTTAGCATCTGTTATAATGCTTCCAATACAGTGGGCACATAAAAAAAGGACCATGGGCAAAGACAATGGGGAGCAGGGAAGAAGTGAATATGGGAGGTAGGACAGGACAGGGGAGATAGTGGGGGGAAAATGGGGACAACTGTAATTGAACAAAAATGAAAAAAATTAAAAAAGAAACTTGAGAAAAAAATAAAAAAATTGGAAAAAGTGGTTGTAAAATGAATGAATATTGTATACTTCAGAATAAATAACACATTCCCCCCCCCCCTTTATTTTTCTTTCTCACCTGCTTTAACTGAAAATGGCTTTTCCAAAAGAAATATTGTTTGTTTCCAGTGTGTTTTGGTACTCTGGGGGCCCGTAGAGAACATCACCTGCATTGGTAGAGTTCAAAAGTATCTGATAAAGTACAAGATATTTAATATCATGGTACATTAATCTACTACTTCACATACAAGCTCCAACTGCCTACAACAGCTTATGATCAAACACCTTGGGGCACAAAGATAAAATGCAATGTATTCACCTAATTAATTCTTATGAGACAACTCATAATACTTACCCTGTTGTGGCAATTCTTCTCAAAGTATATATCAAAGTAGCCAGCAACTGCCTGTTTTTCAAAAAAAAAAAAAAAGAAAATAAATGATTACATTAATTGCATGACATAATTTATTATTCAGTCTTTTAAAACATGGCAAATAAGAAACTATTTCAAAGACCAGATACCCCTTAAACTATGGCAGGTCACCATTTTTCCTGGAAAGAATGTTTTAAGTAAAAATAAAGTAATATAATTTTGTTTTTCCCCACAGAAACAACACAATAAGGGTAATGAGGCTAATCAAATAATCAATAAAATGATCATGGTAGACTACTGAATGGTGGGAGACTGTAAGAAGAGAGAGGGGCTCAGCCGGCCCCTAGCCAATCCAAACTCTCCCACTGAGCTGCTGCCACGTGAGGAAAGCCATCTTGGACAACTCCTGCAGACAATTCCAGACAACTCCTGCAGTGTAAGAGATCCCAGGGGAGAGCCACAGAAAAACTAGTGGATAAGTCCAGTCCAGGCTGCAGAATCATAAACAACTCAGTCTAAATGACTGTGACTTCAAAGCATTAAGTTTTGGGATGGTTTATTACATGGCAATAAGTAACTAAAACATATTCTTTTATACAAAGACAGCTCACTAAATTTCTTCTGATATTGTATATCCAATTTGAAAGCAAACTACCAGAAATATTTTTGCAATAAGATCAATGGAATATTTAAATGTTCCATTTTTTTCTGAAAATAAAGTAAAAATTAGTAATATTACTCAAATAAAATTTATGTTTAAGCAAATATCCGAAAAACTCCAGAGTTTTTCATACTATCATAGTAACCAAGGGTTACTATGATAGTATAAAAAGGCCTCTAAAAGAAATTAACATATCCAGATGAATATATAGTTTTCATTTCTTTTTGTTTAAATTTTAAATAATACCATTCCTTTTTCTTTCACTAGTGGTACTAATTTGACTTAATCTATGTTTAAAACTGGCATTAAATAAAGCTTTTAAAATGTTAAAAACAGGACATTGCTGTTTTTGTTGAGAATGTGAAGTTTTATTGATCTGTAGGGTTAATATGGATTGAATCCAAACCAAATTCAGTATTTAACCTTCAGGTTCATTACAGTTTAGATACCGAGAGAAAATTGAAATACTATTTATAATCCTGTCCAATAAAATCATAAAGCAACATACTACTCAGCTACAGATTATTATCGAAAACTATGCAGCTAATGAGAACATTTCTAAAATATAACTTTTTTTCCCCCCCAGTTGATTTCTTGATCTCTCTGCTGAGTAATTTAACTGTTTTCTTAAAGTTGCTCCTGTATATCTATCTTGTTCACCACTCTATATCCTTAGTGGCCAGAGCAATGCCTGGCCCACAGTACACAATTAATGTTTGCTGAGTAAATGTGCTATGATGCAGAATTTTAATATAGTACTTATTATACTAATATTTTAGTTTGTCCTATCAGACTGTAATTCATTTATAAGTAAAACCTGTGAGTAATTTATATTTTTATGCCCTTTACCCAGCACAAACCTGTTATACAGCAGGTTCTCCATACATTTTAAATGAAATTTCTTAAGTCTTCAGTTTCTTAAATATCTTGTATAGCTAGCCTCCTTACATAATCAGTGCACTTTATGAACCAATTGGATTACTAAACTTAGATGGGACAAATAATTTTCACCTCTGAAAAAAATCGAGTGTGTAAAACAAATATGGGGAAGAAGGAGCTAGGGCTGAGAACCCCCTGGTTCTATGTGTAAAGCTACACAGGTCTCAGCCTAACCCCAGCGCTACATGGCCCCGATGAGATCCAAACCAACATAACAAAGGCTGAGAGACCTAAATGAAAACTGAATCGCTGGCGCAAGCCCCAGGATTAATGCAGTTTTAAAAAACTTGTCTGGAAAATATCCAAACCAACAAGTAATAGCTTAGAGAACTAAAATAAGATGTGAAAAACCTATACAAGTCTCAGACTAATTCCTTAAGTGTATAAGTACAGTAGACACCCAAAACAATATGACAAATGCTTAAAGAATGAAACTCAGGTTTGAACCACTGCTTTCCCAGACACCGTTAACAGAACTTGTGTTTTGACTTTAACTGGGTTCACTGCCTGCTAACACCAAACATGAACATTCTCCAGACAATGATAACATTACTGAGAATGCACACAACACGACAAAGAATGTACAACATCTAGGATACAATTCAAAATTACTCAACATACAAAGATTCAAAAAAATGTAACCACTCCCGAAGATAAAAGACAGATGATGCCAGCTCTGAGATGACCCAGATGCTGAACTGTCAGACAAGGACTTTGAAGTAGAAATCGTAACTATGAGGGTATAAGATAATAGAAAACACATTGAAATGAATCAGAAGATAGGAGTTCTCAGTAGAAAAACAGAAACTATAAAAAAAAGAACTACATAAAATATTTAGAAATGAAAAATACAGTGACTGAAATAAAACAACTCCCTGGGTTACACTACAGAATAGAGATGTCAGAGAAAAAAGAAATCAGTGAATTTGAATATAGATCAATAAAAATTATCTAATTTGAAAATCCAAGGAGAGAAACTGAAATAAAATGTACAGAGCCTCAGGGAACTGTAAGTCTAACATACATATAATTGGAGGTCAGGATGGGAAAAAAAAAAAGCTATTGGAGCAAGAAAAAACCTTTTAAATTTCTATATTCAGCAAAAATATTCTTCAGGAATAAAGAAAAAATAAAGACATTTTCAAGTGAAGAAAATGAAAAGAACTCATTGCCAACAGACTTTTTAGAAGAAATTTTAAAGGAAGTTCTTCAGACTGATGGGCCATAATAATAGAAGGAAACCTGAAACATCAAAAATAACATGAGAACAACAGGAATGATAAATAGTTAGGTCTTATAAAACACTATCTTTACCTTCTAAATTCCTTTACAGTACTTATGATTGTTCAAGGCAAACTTATAACATCATCTGGGGAGTTATCAATGAATGCACACATACTCATAGAGATCAGTGCAGTGGGTGGGACAGTAGGAGGGAGGAAGAGTAAAATTTCACCAACATATGTAAGTGTATATAAAAATTGGAACTGAAGAGGGCTTTTTAAAGGCCACACAGAGGCAGACTTAATATAAGAAAAATCTAAAATTTTAGTATCAAAATTAAAAGGTAACAAATCTGGGAATATTTTAACAGATATAAAACAAAGGGTCACTTGTTCATTGTACATTAAACTTCTACATGTTAGTAAGAAAATGATGTGTCAAAAGAAATTAAGGCAAAAGAAATTTACAAAAGAAAACTCAAATGATTTCTAAACATGTAAAAAAAAGATGTTTGACTTAGAGAAAATACGCAATTAAAACCAGACATAATTTTCCTGGATTAATTTGGGGAAAACATTTTTTAAATGATAATATCCACAGTTCAGTGAGAAATGTGGCATTAATGGTGGGAAAATAAACTGAGATACCCTTTCTAGAGAGAACTTAGCAATACATATTAAAAGAAAAAACATTTGTATTAGAGAGAAGTCAGACACAAAATAGTACACTTAACTCCATTTATATATACTTTTCAAAAACAGTAAAACTTACAGTTATAAGTCAGTATAGTAATTACCCTTGCATAGCGGTAGCAACTGAAAGGGGTTACATGGCAGGTTCCTGGTTTGCTGGTAATAATCTGTTTCTTGAGCTGAGTGCTGGGTACATGGTGGGTATTCACTTTAGGCAGTTTTTAACACACTACAAGATTTCTGAGCTTCATTTTGTTAAGTGTATGTTAAGTATTCAACTAAAGTGCTTACATAATGTACATACTCAATGATTCAGGGATTCTAAAAAGTATTCTGTGGAAATTATTATATATATTTGCAAAGATTTAGCCATAAGTTGCCAATTTTAGCTCAAATTTTCAACTATAGGTGATCAGTTAATAAATCATAATACCTCCATATAAAGGAATACCATTTGGCCATCAAAAGTAATTGTGTAGATAAATATTTATGGATTTGGAAAAAGTCGCAAGATACTGTTAAATGAAAAGAATAATAATGTATATTATGGACACATTATATGTTATAGAAATGTAAATATATATATCTGGAAAGATAACCACTAAGCTACTGAAAGTGGGTAATAGATTTGGAATAGTCATGTTCCTTTTTGGAATATTCCTATTCTTTATGCTTAGCTATAATTTATATTTCTCATAAAAATTCACAGCATCTGTGATCACATGTTATTTAGGAGGAACTAAGTGAAAAAATGTATGACAACTTTTCCCCAACTAGTATTTCTACAAAAAAAATTTTTTTCAATGAAGAGATTAGCAAATACAAACTGAAAAAAAGTAGAAAGTAGAGGAGTAAAGATATTTATGGAATAGACATAGTAATAAGAAATTGCCAAACCATACTAAAACATTAAGAAGACTTTTAAAGATTTTAGTAAGTGGGTTTCAATGGAAGGGGTTTACTTTATAATTGTTCTTTAAGGTACACATATGTTTTCTGCACTCCTAATATTCTATGTTACCAGAAAACAAAAAAAAAAAAAAGGTAGAAAAAACCCCCAGTAAGCTAACAAACCTTTTTGTGAAAACAACAAATTCAGGTATAAAAGATGCTCTTATAACATTATCAGAAGATGTGACCTGAAATATGTAACATACACCAAGTGAAACATCATATGTTTAACTCTGGTATAAAACAGACTGGCAATATTAATATGATAGAATTATGTAGAATTTGTAATTACTGACTATAGAATTTATAATTATAGGTTTTAATGAAGAAGAGAGGCTGGTGCATGAGTTTATAACAAAATTAAAAAATAAAATGATCTGGGAACACAAAGATATTAGAACTGTTTTCTAATCCCCAAATCCAACTATCTATGAAATTTAGTTAAAAAAAATCAAAGAAGAAATTAACCTTCCTTTCCCCCAAACCTTCCAAAAATAGGTGAAAAAATACTGGGTAGTTTGGGGTAAACAAAAAGAGGTTTATAAGTCTCAAGACATATAAATAAA